TGGAAATTTTAGAATGTGTGCACCAGTTTAGATTATAGCCTCCTCTGTAAGCAATTTCATACTTTCCCAGGTCTAGGGTAGAAAGACAGGCAAGGGAAAAGGGAACTGCCTGCTGGAAAAGGGGGTGGAGGAGTGCCTATGAGCTGGAGCTGGAGTCCGTAGAGTTCTAACTTCCTCCCAGGCTCTGTGCTTCCTCGGTACAAAGCTCCAAAGTTGCCCCTGGTCCTTGATTCCAGAGCCCCAAGTTGCCCAAAGTGGAGTTTAACTGTGTAACAGAACTGGGAAATGAGCAGGCCCCTGCCCCCATGAGCAAGCTGGTTCCCAATAGCTGGCTTCAACCCCACTGCAATGGTCCCTCTCACCGCTCCTTCATTCCAGCCTGGGACATGCTCTCTTCTTTTACAAATGCCCTGATGCTCTCCATACTCCCAGCCCAGCCCTCTTGCTAGCCCTCAGTGACAAAGCCACCAGGTTCTATGTGGTCTCTGTGTCCTCTTAGCACCTGTGAAGCATTGACATCCTCTATTGTATAGATTCTCAAACTTGGTTGCACTTTTTAGAATTACCTGGGGACTTACAAAATCCAATATCCAGGCCATACTCCACAGCAAATACATAGAATCTCTGAGACTGGGACTGGGGCATCCGTATTGGGAAAGTGCCCCAGGTAGTTCCAGTATACAACCTAAGCTGGGAATTCCTGCTCTATTGTGTCTTGTTGCAGCTAGGAGCCGTGAAGGGACCGGGAAATGGGGTCACTATGTGTTTGGGTGACCAAATGTCCTGGTTTGCACAGGATTGAGCATTTTTAGGATGTGGGACTTTCAGTGCTAAGACTGAGGAAGTTCTGGCAAACTGGAATGAATTGGTTGCCCTCATGTTCACCTGACTGAGCTCTAAGAGCTTGGTGAACTAGTCTGTTCATTAGTGATATTTGTGCCCGAAGAACCAGAGCTCCACTGCTAGATGAACTCCTCTCCCCTTTCCTGGTCTCCACAGACACCTCCACCCTTGGAGCCTGGCACACGACCCTGCCACAGTCACCTTGTCCTGGGTGTCATTCCTTGCTATGCTTCTCTGTTCATTAGAACCCTGCCCAGCCTTAACACCCAAATCGTCAAGCCCTGCCTCATTCCTGAAGCTTCAGGCCCCAGAAAGAAAGGGCCCTTTTTGTGGTGTAAGGGGGTGGGGAGGGACTCGAGGACAGTGAGGTGCCAAGTGAAGTATGTGGGCACAGCAGCTCAGAGCTCACATCTGACCTCACAGAGTGTAAGTCCATACCCAGGACATCCAGATAGCAAGAGGGTCCTTAGAGCCAGGTGACCCTTGTATAATGTCAATAATCCCCTATAGGAATGGTGGAGGAAGGCAAAAGAGTACAGAGAAGAGAGTTGAGACAAGAAGACCTTGGTTCCCAGTAAATAGATTCATTCTGCAGCAATCCACTGAACACCTACTATGTGCAAAGCACCAGACCAGGCATGGAGGCTACAGGAGGCAACTTTCAATTTCAAGAGTCCATAATGTAAGTATAATTTTCACTTATTTCTTTTTTTTAGATACTCCCTAATCCCAACTAATTGGAGAAAAAAATAATCTGATGTTTTTAGATCAAAAACAAGCATTTACAACAAAGCAGTTATTTCTCTCAGATGCCTAGACTAAATCTAACAATGTATTAGCTAGTTGAGGTATTTTGGAACTTCTTTCAATGATTAAAATATTCATGGTAAATGGGTACTCGAGAGGTTTTTTGCTGTTGTTAATTTTATCAATCAATTAGGTATCACACTATTCAACTGCTTTGCAATTTTTTTTAAGATTTTATTGAGGAATTGGGGGAGGGAACAGTGTTGGGGAATCGGGGAAGGGGAACAGACAAGTTGCTGTCCTTTGGTTCTTCAGTCTAGTTGTGAAGGATGTTGCCTCACTGGCCCATGTTGGTACTGTGATCATTGTGCTCTTCCCGGCTGAGGTAGATCACTCACTGGCCATTTGATGGCCACTCAGGGCAGCTGTTGGCAGCTCACACCGGCTGCTGGCTGCTCATGCTGGCTGCCAGCCACTCAAGGTTGCTTACAGCAGCCCACTGCAGCCCCATTGCAGCCTATGCCATCGCTGGCAACTCAGGGTAGCCCAGCTCCAGGTCGAGCTGTTGTTCACCATCTTAGCTGTAGAGGGTGCAGCATCACTAGCCCATGTGGGATCTGAACCGGGGCCCTGCTGCTCAGAGTTCGCGCTCCCAAGCCAACTCTTAATCAATGAGTCACTTGGCCCGCCCTGCTTTGCAAACTTTTTTCTCAACAATTACATGGTAGTGAAGCTCTACCTAAGGTTATGATGGAATTTTTATTATAAAGGAGTTTGTTTGAACTAGCTTTTTCTGATAGGAAATCTTGAAAATTATTATTGAGGTTCTTTTTAAATCACTAGGATTCAGAAAAGCAGAGCCAGGAGGGGACACACACACACACACACACACACACACACACACACACACACACCACCCGCCCAGCCACTGCTTCAAGCCAGGGAGGTGAGTCAGCAGATCAGCAACAACAATTGTGAGTCACAAAATAATTGCTGCTTTTCTCCTGCCCTCAATTCTCCCAAAAATTACCTTGTATTCCACATGAACTGAAACATAAGAAAAGGAATTCTGGCAAATGCAGTTCAGTCTACCCAAACTGACACAAAAGCCATGACATGTCATACCAGGAAATTACTTGGCTTAGAAAATCTGCACATTTATTAAGTGCATTTCTGTCACATAAAACAAAAGGAGATTCAGTAGTCTGTAGGACATTGAGGAGCGAAATATTGACCCAAGAAGACCCAGGAGCCACTTCCATGTAATTACAACAAACAGGACAGATGAGATAGACGGAAAGCTATTGGGTTCAAAGGTCACCTTATCGCTTTCCAGATCTGAGTCTAAATCCAAAATTCCCTGATTCTTTCCTCCCTGGAATGGACATAACTCATTCCATTTTCAGAGGATGACTATGGAGATTTGAAAAGCAAACCATAGAATCTCCCTCTGATATATGAGATCCTTAATATCAAAAGCAGTGGGCCGGACGAGTGGCACGTTGGTTAAGAACTGGCTTGGGACGCCAGCTCTGAGCAGCAGGGCCCCGGTTCAGGTCCCACATGAGGGCCAGTGACACTGCCTTCTACAGCTAAGATGGTGAACAACAGCTCGATCTGGAGCTGGGCTGCCATGAGTCGCCAGCGATGGTGTAGGCTGCAGCTCCTGCTGCAGTGGGCTGCCATGAGCTACCGTGTGTGGCCAGCAGCCAGCGTGAGTGGCCAGCAGCCGATGTGAGCTGCCAAGAGCCGCCGTGAGGGGCTGTCCAGAGGCCAGCGACTGATATGCCTCACCCAGGAAGAGTGCAATGACCATACCAACATGGGCCAGTGAAGCGACGTCCTCCACAACTAGACTGAAGAACAAAAGGACAGCAACTTGTCTGTTCCCCTTCCCCCGATTCCCCAATAAAAATCTTTAAAAAGTGAAAAAAAAAGTAGTGCTATGGTTCTGCTTTAGTAATCAACTTGGTAGTGCTGTATTATGCCCCTTCTGTGTCCCTCTCTGATACACAGTGGGGCTTTCCCCATATCCATCATTCCTCCAAAATGAACCTGCTGATGCTGAGTAAGGTGGGAACTCGATCTAACTGAACATATCTATGAGATCTGTCCACTATGTGGACTTTCAGATCTTAACAAGAGCTGAACTAGGACTGAAGCCCATCCACATACACTACACCCAAAGGGCTTCTCTCCAGTGCGAGTTCTCTGATGTGCAATAGGAGCTGAATTCTGAACAAAGGCGTTACAATCTTCATTTCATTCACAGTTTCTCCCCTGTATGATTTCCCAGATGATCAATAAGGTACGAATGATACTCGAAGGTTTTCCCACACTCTTTACATTGAGAGGGTTTGACTCCACTGTGAGTTTTCTGATGCTGAATGAGGTGGGAGTTCTGACTAAAGGCCTTCCCACATTCACTGCATTCATAGGGTCTCTCTCCAGTGTGAATTCTGTAATGTTTAATAAGGAGTGAACTCCTACTAAAAGATTTCCCACACTCGTTACAATCAAAGGAGCCTCCCCAGTATGAACTCTCTGATGTTCAATGAGGTGCAAGTTACGACTGTAACTTTTCCCACAGTCATTGCATTCATATGGTCTCTCTTTGGTGTGAACTCGCTGATGTTCTATTAGATTTGAGCTCTGGCTGAAGGCCTTCCCACATTCAGTACATTCATAGGGTTTCTCCCTAGCATGGATTCTCTGATGTTGAATAAGACTTGAGCTCCAACCAAAAGCTTTTCCACTTTCATTGCACATACAAGGCATCTCTCCTGTATGAATTATCTGATGCTGGATACGGTGTGAGCTGCGCCAGAAGGTTTTCCCACATTCACTACATTCATAGGGTTTCTTTAGTGTATATTCTTTGATGCTGAATGAGGTTTGAACTATAGCCAAAGACTTTTCCACATTCATGACACTCATAAGCTTTCTCTTGTGTACTGGATTTTTTTTTTTTTAAAGATTTTTATTGGAGAATTGGGGGGTTGGGAACAGTGCTGGGGAATTGTGGGAAGGGGAACAGACAAGTCGCTGTCGTTTTGTTCTTCAGTCTAGTTGTGGAGGACATTGCTTCACTGGCCCAAGTTGGCACCATCATTGCGCTCTTCCCGG